CTTTCGTTCGTTATAGTGTTTGTTTTAGCGCGAATGTTGAAATTAAGTGTATCGTAAAGTTATATTCGGAAAGAATAAACCAGTTTTATTAAGTAAGGACTTGTGTCGCTAAAGTTTCTTGGAAACGAAGTTACGGAAAATTAATTAACGACTGGAGACGTAACAATATGTTACACATAACAACAAGGCACTTTATTTAATAGGTTATGTTTCACTTCTGTGTGTTTCTCAGCAAGATTTCTTGAAAACGGCTGAATGGATTTGGACGAAAGTTGGTATGAATTTGGACCCAACTTAGAAGTGATTAATTTTTGGAGGGTCAAGGTCACAGAAAGATCACAAAAATCCAAAAAAAAATCACTATCTGATAACAGGGATACCAATTTTTCACACTATTTTTGCTCTATAGCTCAGTCAAAAATGATAACGAAGGACATACGGACACATTTTCGTATTTTTAGCGTGGAGGAGGTGAGAGCTCTGCTGAGTATCCCTCTAGATATAAACTAATTGAGGCACCAACAATATATTATACACACAATACAAGGCATTGTAGTACATCAAATCTCTTACATAACTTGGCACTAACACAATACATTACACCCCAAAAAAAGACAGTAATACTCTATTTAATACAATAATTATCTCGCACATAGAGGGCACTGATATACCATCTTGCGGATAATAAGACGGCTAAGACACATTATTTTATATACTAATTGTACTATGTTGAAACTTTAATTTTTTTAAATCCATCTATATTATGTTAACGTACAATATTGTTACGTCTCCGACGAAAATTTAGCGACACAAGTCCTTTCTTAAATAAAACTGGTTTATTCTTTCCGAATACAACTTTACCGATACACTTAATTTCAACAGTCGCTCTATACAAACGCTATAACTCACGTCTCGCGAGCTCGACTTCAACAATACTCCGTTCAATTACACACTCTCTGACTGCAGTTCAATTACTCACTACTACACTGTTGTCCCCGTCACGTTGTCAACGTCTTATATATATACAAGACTAACACATATCTAGTAAATGCTAGGGCATTCTTGAAGGAACAGGATATTTCTAGAAAACAGGTGGCGTGATACTAGTCACGTGACCTCGCTGACGCAACACTATCATAACATTACACTCAAAGTACCCAACCCTAAAAGATGCTTATGAGGAGATGCCCTTCATAAACCACCCGCATGAGTACTGTTGACCATATGAGATTTCTTATGAAATTAGTCACCCAAGGATGGGTATTAGTGCCCCCAGCTAGAAGTGTGTTTTGGGCTCACTTAAAACAGATTAATCGAAAATGAATTTGGTAGCTAAATATAAGGAGTAGAAAACAAAATGAAGAAATTAAGGCTAACGACAGTAGGTCGTGTAAGTTGGTTGTTCAGTTGCTCTGTTTGTTCATTGAATTCCATCGTGTTTATTGCATCCAAAACCTGTCGGTTTAACTGTAAAACTTTCAAAGGAGCTAGTCTATAAACTTTCCCAGTTTTCGTCATCTTTCGGCCAGTTGTGTTGCTGTGAAACGCATTACTCTAGAACCCATAAAAAGAGGCACAAACCGAAACTTTGGTAAATTAAACATTTTGGAGCTATTTTTTACGCGCAGAATGAGTTTTTTTGTACCCCAGTGCTTGGAATGTTAAACAATAACTAATTTTACTCTGACACGCTTGGCCCGGCATGGCCAGGTGGTTAGGGCGCTCGACTCGCAATCTGTGGGTCGGAGGTTCGAATCCCCGTAACACCAAACATGCTCGCCCTTTCAGCCGTGGGGGCGTTATAATGTGACGGTCAATCCCACTCTTAGTTGGTAAAAGAGTAGCCCAAGAGTTGGCGATGACTAGCTGCCCTCTAGTCATGTAGACTAGAACACCTCCAACACCTGGAACAAGTACCAGTTTCTAATTTACCCATAATACCTCAGATATCAAGCGTCGAATCCGTACAATGCGGAAGTATTTTTTGACATTAATTACAAAAAACTACTTAGCATTTCGGATGTTTCGTAGTTGCTCATGCACATACGTCATAGGTCTCTAGTGCAACTGATAGGTTTGTACACTTGATAATACAAGCTGTTCGTTCAGTCTAGATGAAAACTAAAGTCGGTTAACACTCTCAGAAGCTACGCCTTGTTGGTCCTCAGAATACATAACACAATCGCGTTCAGTAGCGCAGTGGATTTTTAACAACTTTAATGGATCAAACAGTTGATTTAAAATAGGTGTCTCAATATATATATACAGTGTTGCTTTAATTTGATTGCCACTGGCGGAAAATTATCGTTTGCCTGCGTACTAATTCACGCTAAAAAATATAGAAATACGAATTTAAGTTGTCCGTGTGCGCCCGCCCTTCGAAATATTTTTTTTTTTTTTTGTAATTAAGCACAAAGCTACATAATGGGCTATCTGTTCTCTGCCCACCATGGGTATTGAAGCCCGGATTCTATCGTTGTAAGTACGCAGACATAGCGCTGTGCTACAGGGGGGACCTTTCGAAATATACTATGAATGACTTCATAACGATAGATCGTGATCATTACCGGAGCATTCCGTACAGTAATTAGCTTATTTGGATATGCAAACGAATGTGATTGGCTGTATTACGACGTCATTTGTTTTTGCGGGAGGTTCCCTTGTTATTATGGGATATCGATCATTGAAAATGGCGGAAAAAAAAAGTGAAAAAGTGCGAAGACGTTGAAAAAGCGTTTAATTTTCAAAAACATTACTATATTTTCCCATCAAAACGAAGCAAAAATAGAGATAAATAAAGGAAAAAGGCGCATAAAATATGACTATAGTATAAGTTTTGTCAGTGAATACGTAGATGTTTCGATGAAAGTGGATTCATTGATCACATTTAGCTTACTTACCATATTTTCAGTAAATACACAGATGAAATTAATTGCAATGATTCAATTCAACGTTTCTTCAAGTAAAAGTTACTTGATAATGTTATACTTTTATAACTCGCGAAGTTCATACCTGCTTCATTACATGGATGGCCTACTCTCTGGAAGTCAGTGAGGGGATTTGGCCCACTTGAGAAAAATCCTAGAAGCAACATTGATATATATATATTGTTGCGTCAGCGAGGTCACGTGACTAGTGTCACGCCACCTATTTTCTAGAAATATCTTGTTCTTTCGCGAATGCACTAGCATTTACTAGATATATGTTAGTCTGGTATATATATAAGACGCTCACAACGTGACGGTACAATGTGTGTAGGTAGTGAGTAATTGAACTGCAGTCAGAAAGTATTGTTCGTTGTTATAGAGCGACTGTTGAAATAAAGTGTATCGTAAAGTTATATTCAGAAAGAATAAACCAGTTTTATTAAGAAAGAACTTGTGTCGCTAAAGTTTCGTGGGAACAAAGTTACGGAAAATCAACTAACGAACGGAGACGTAACAATATATTATTTGTTGATTATTGAGTACAAAGCTACATAATGGGCATCTATACTGCTCTCACAGCAGGGAGCGAACCCGAATTTTAGCATTATACATCTTCACGTTTACTGTTGAACCACAGGGGGATATAAAATATATTTACTTATTAAGAACGACACTAAAACCCTTTAATATATATTTTCACACGTTTATAAGAGCACACCCAGATCACCCCATGCAAACAATGTAGAGGAGGCGAATTGTCTGATTGGTTTGTTTTCTTATACGGTTAATTTGAATAGTATATGATGTACGGTTGGTTCACTTCTTGTACGGTTAGAATGAATTATATTTGTTGTACAGTTGGCCTCATTGATAAGTTTTCTCGTATGTTTAGTTAACTGGTATATCCCATGTTTAGCGTATTAATGCGACTTGTGTTCTAGGATACAGTCAGGGTAACTAGTATATGTTCTGGGGTACAATCAGGGTAACTGGTATATGTTCTGGGCTACAGTTAGGGTAACTGGTATATGTTCTGGGGTACGGTCAGGGTAACTGGTACATGTTCTGGGGGTACCGTCAGGGTAACTGGTATATGTTTCTGAGGATACAGTCAGGGTAACTGGTATATGTTCTGGGGTACGGTCAGGGTAACTGGTACATGTTCTGGGGTACGGTCAGGGTAACTGGTACATGTTCTGGGCTACAGTTAGGGTAACTGGTATATGTTTTGGGGTACAGTCAGGGTAACTGGTATATATTCTGAGGATACAGTCAGGATAACTGGTATATGTTCTCAGGATACAGTCAGGGTAACCGGTATATGTTCTCAGGATACAGTCAGGGTAACTGGTACTTTCTGTATTTATGATTATTATGCGCGGTATACCTATACAATGAATGAGGAAGGAGCTTTCTGGTGTAGTTCGTTTGACTATAGTGTGTTAATGCGACTCTGATAGTACGGTCAGAGTGACTGGTCTGTGTTCTAGAGGCACGGTTAAATTAACTGGTATTTACCACGTATATGATTACTCTGAGTGGTATATATATAGACATACACGATAGATGAGGATGGTGATCGGGTTTATTTATTGGAGCGTTAATCTGTTTATTGTTGGTGTGATATTAAAGAGAATGGATATTTAGTAACAAACATAGAAACTTACCGTCTTTTCGTCTCCGAAAGTAGTTTTGTAGATATCTCATTCCTCAAGTTTCTGCTCACACGTTTCACTCACCATTACAGGAAGGTTTGGTTTATTTTGAGTGATGATTCACGATGTCAGCCCCCCTTGAGTTATTCATAATTAGTTAAAGGAATCCTTTACGTCATACATAGAAATCCATATTAGTTCCACCTTCATTAATTGAAGCCGTCAACTGATTCAATGAAATATTCCCAGGGAGGAAATGTAGAAACTTCCTTGTGTGTGTCTTGTTTGTTGTTGAGCAGAAAGTTACACAATGAGCTATGTGTGCTGTGCCCGCCACGGGTATCGAAACCCGGTATTTTGCGTTATAAGCCTCCAGTCTTACCACTGTTTGTTTTGAATTTCGCGCAAAGCTACACGAGGGCTAACTGCGCTAGCCGTCCCTAATTTAGCAGTGATAGACTAGAGGGAAGGTAACTAGTAAACATCGCCTACCGCCAACTCGTGGGCCACTCTTTTACTAACGAACAGTGGGATTAACAATCACGTTATAACGCCCTCACTGCTGAAAGGACGAGCATGTTCGGTGACGGGGATTCGAACCCGTGACTCGCAGATTGCAAGTCCTAATCACCAGGTGATGCCGGGCCTGAGAGGGAAGGGGGCACTATCTTATGAAACAAAGATAATGTTAGTAAATAACCGGGTAATGTTTACTGAAATTTTAAAAATCAAATTTCAGAAACCGTCAGTACAATAAAGGAGGCCGATCCACGCAATATTATCATTGTATGTATGTAATGGCGGATTTATTTATAAACCTACATCGAGGACAGTTTTTATTTATTCAGTTAGTGTTTATAAATTATTGTTTAAAAGAGGGATTAGTTAGTGAAAACTTTAAAATAGCAGCATATTGTTCCAGTCTTGACTTTGTTGAAGTAAGTTTCTAAAAAAAAACATGATTCTTATACTAATATTGTCTTTCGTAGCGTACAACTTCACTTGTTTTTATTGTCAGCAGACGATGAATTCTTGAATCGTTTGCATAAAAGAACATTTACAGTTTGGTGAATCGAATAACTCTAGGGTCAAAAGTCATTTTAACAGTGGTAGTGATGAACAAACTTCATATATTAAATAAACGTTTATTATACACCTTCTCAAAAAAATCTGGATTTGAATTAGTCAATAATGAAAGTCTTTTTGCGTAATTATAAAGTATAACTAGTGATAACCCTTAAATTTGAGACTACGGACTCCTTCATAGTAAAGTCTGTCTTTGCTAAATCGCGCCAAGTTACGTTCGGAAACTTCCATTTACTCCAACGTGGTTAAAAGTAATTCAGTATGTACCATTTATTTTACTGTATTTGGCAGATAAGTCTTAAACTCTATGATAATGATTAGTTTAAATAGAAGATTCTAGATGCTGTAAACATAACATTTAAAAGCAACCAAATAAAACAAACCTCGAAGTCAGAAAGTAAAATTCACTAATACTGTTTTGTTACGGAAACACAAAATACAAGCAAGTAAAAACAAGGGCCTAATCCATCTTTTTTTTAAGTGACAAACTACTTGATAATAAATTATTAAATGTCAAACACAACTAATGATTTTTTCAGAATTCGCACAAAGTTACACAAGGAGTTTCTGCCCACAGCCGTCCCTAATTTTGAACTGATAGAGAATAGGGTTGGCAGCTAGTCAACACTACTGTTGCCTGATCGAATAGTGGGTGCTATTTGACTGATTATTATAGCACAACCATAACTCCAAAGTGCGGAATGTGTTTTGTGGCATCAGGTCGGATTCACATTCTAGGCACACTAAATACTTAGCGGTACTTGGTTCACAATTAAAGGTAAGAGCATTCCAGTATTTAGTGAACATGATAGGAAAACAAACTATGCACTTACTGAAACTAAGAGAAATTGGATAAAAAATGTCTGTCATTAATAAGACAGAACACAGAAAGAAACATATAGGCAAAAGGAAATAGTTACAGAATATGATAAAGAAATGTAACAAATATAAGAATAAAAGTTGTACATTAAAGTTAAAGACAGGAAAAGAGAGAGCTTTATGATAAATTCAAAAATATCGCCGGAAAAACAAGAACGGAAAAAAGTATAGCAAAAGATCTAAGACTTGTGGAAATAAACAAGATTCACAATATACATAGTAGATTAGTGAGTAAATGATAAAAAAATAACGTATAAGTTGATCAGTAAGTAGCAGTAAGATCATATCCTATACTTTAGGTAGAAACGGAAGCTGCAAATATAGGCCAAAGTCTTAAAGTGGGATTAAACAAACTTCAGAGTCTACACACAGAATTAGAAAGAATATATATATCTATATAATAAGATTCAGTGTCTATATCTGTCTGTGTGTCTTGTAACTCCTCCTAAACCGCTGATTGCACTGATTTCTAAGCTGTACCAAACGAATCGCTTCGGTCTTGAGGTTTACACCAAGGTAAAGATTTTCACCCCACACCTTGGGAATCCGGGAATGTCCAGAAAACCCCTTCTCCGAAACTGCTACCCTCCCCAAAAAAGATAGAAGTTTATATCGCAAAAACAAAAAAACAACGTTATACAGTCATGGACACGGCCTGAAAAGGATTACTCACGTGTGCAAATGTGTCCTGTACGCGCATGCAGTAACTGCATGATGTAAGAACGGGTTTTTTCTAGCTACCGGACCGTATACTACTGAAGAATTAATGTGGGCTTCATCCAACATTCAAGAACCGAACCAAGGAGGGAGGTAAAGGTCAAGGTGTACCTGATCCTCCCAGGTCACATAATCAAACAATGACTAATTGAAACAGCTGCTAGCAAACGAGTCGTCTCGGACCCGAGGTTTACACAAAGGTAAAACTTTACATTCAACCACTTAGAGAACCCGGGTATTGGTTTACATTTTAACACGTAAATAAGTAGACCTACTAATTATCGTTCGTAATTTGGTTAAAGAAATTAAATTTGCATTATAGTGGACCGTAGTCTCACTGGTTTACCAATATATACATATATATATAAAGAATGCGAAAATAATAATGTAGTATATAAGATCAAAATTGAAATATTAAATACTTTAGTAATTCTCAAGATCATCGCTAGAGGAAATTTGACTTTAAGCATGGCAGCCTCCGTAGTTGGAAAGAGTAGTTTACGCGCTCCTGATTTATTACATCGAGTTTTGTCTATTTTTCCCCAAGAAATATCTTTTGCGTTTGCATATGGTTCCGGTGTTTTCAGACAAGAAGGATATAATGAAAATCAGGTGAGACTTGAATGTTTAATTTGTGAATTTATGGTACTGGCACTACTGACACTAGTTGTAATACTAATACTACACCAATATAAATTATAATTAATTATTGCAGAGTTACACAATGGACTACCTGCGCTATGTCCACCATGGGAAATGGAACTCAGGATCTTAACATTATAAGTCGTTAAGCTTACCACTGAATCACAGGAGGACACAATTACTAGCACTTAAATATAAATTATCAGTGTGCTAAATATTAACAATTATTAGTCTGGTATAATATTTAGATATAAAACTTTTGTCAGTTGGCTATATAATGTGATAATAAATTATCACACACTAAATTAGAATTTTTCTCTTATGATTTCATATTAATGAAAGTGCAGATAGTTTTTATTTTTTTTGTTTTGAATAATTAAATGTGAAATTAATCAAAGCTAAGGATGTAGCAAACAACCTAAAACTGTTGGTTTGGGCATTAACTTAATTAATGTGCATTTAGACCCGTTAGTAAATTTTGTATTGTTAACAATGTGATACAGTGATTTCAAAGAGTTTCATCTCCCACAATCACTACTATGAGTATAAAACTTGTTGTCATCAGTATCGGGTATTAGTGGTATTTATTCATTGTGATGTAGCCTGTATGCCTCTCGGTCTATGCCACAGTAGTGTCTGACTGACCCTGGGTTAATCTAACGTCAGTATCGATAACATTGTAATTAAATAAATTATTCTACAGTGTCCATATAGATGATATGTGAATAATTTCAGTAATTAATAAATAGTGTGATAGTTAAACAATACTTTTCACAACGGGTAAACTACAGCTATGAGAATCTGTAAAAAAAGATAACCCTGTCTATGAGCACTGCCATCCAATATGATAGACACTAGGAGAAAAGAACAAGATATCGTGGCCTTGTTCTGTAAAGGTCTATTGTGTTCTGAACCTTTCTCATCGGTAGTGAAAACATGTCAAGAGATTTCATCCTATTCGTATACGATAACCTCCCAAACCTGTAATCGTTGTTATAACTCATCTCAGAACCTTTTCCAACAAGTAAACATTTTTTTAAAATGTGTGTTTACAGAAGTTCCTGTCCTGTACTTTATAGAACACTTTAAGAAAAACCTATAAAACTACACTCACTCTATGTATCGTCTTAAATTCATTTAAGACAATATTGTTTTTTATTTGTTCAGTTTTTGATCTTGCAATTCATTTTTTTTTTCATATGACTGTCAGAAAAATATGATTGACTTGATTTTGGCTGTCAATAATCCAGTGACTTGGCATCAGAATAATCTCAAACTAAATAGATCACACTATTCCATCTTAAAATATGGTGGTTCCCATCTGGTCAACCGGATGCAGCAAGATTATGGAGCTGGTGTTTATTTTAATACCTTAATACCATTTGAAGACAGGGTAAGTTAGTGTATTTATGTCATAATTATTCAAACAGTAGTTTTTTTGTATAGTGTATGGAATATTATGAATCTGAGTTTGATTGAAGGGTGTATAAGGTACGAGTCTCTAACTTTGCTTTAACTGTCCTGATGACATAATTCTGTTTTGTGTAAGACACATGTAAAATTCAGTTATATTTTAACTATGTTTTAAGTTCTCGTATTCTGCAAACATAAAAATATTTATCTTTTACACAACAGCTGCTTCTTTTTTGACGGGAGCAACCCATGACGTGATTGACCCATCAGATTCTGTCATACCATTAGTGTGAGCTATTCTTTTGAATGTCTTGCACTTGATATTCATGGGAACATTTTCCTTTTCCTGATTTTGTGACACGATCTTTACAGGATGCAAACATCATTAGGGTACTTCACTGGTTTCTTTTGATTGGGATAGATTACATGAATCCAGCCTAGTTTGTCTGGATGTAAAGTGATGCTGTAATGTATTGTAATGTAAACATTGTGGAGTCAAATACATTATAAACATTTCCAGCTTTATATAAATGTCATAGATGAAAGTGTTAGGTTTTATTGAGGTGCCCTGTACTACGTGACCAACTGGTGGGTCTTGTGGCACTAAATGAAAAATGTGAGTGTGCCAAATGACCAACCAATGGGACGTACTCTAACTCATTGTACCCTATTTTTCAGAATATAAGACGCACCCTTATTTTGAAGACAAAGTTTTGGAGAAAAAAAAAGTTACAGTCGCATTTGAAAGATTTTTATTGAACAAAAGTTCAATTTGATACTTCAAAAATTAGTATATGTTGTTCTAAACACAAAACAGCTCAAAACATCAA